ATTTCTTGTAATCCTGTCTACTGTCTTTGGTTCTTTCTACGTCCCACTTCTTTTTAGCTAGCCTCTTCCTCTGAATGCTGTCCTGTACTTCCTCGTTCCACCACCATGTTTCCTTATCTTCTTTCCTCCTTCCAGATGACACACCTAGCACCTTCCTACCTGTCTCCCTGCTGTAGTTTCCCAGTCATCTGGAAGTTCTTCCTGACCACCCAAAGCCTGTCTCAACTTCTGTCTGAATTCCTTACGACATTCTTTTTTTTTTCCACCACTTGGTCTTCTTCTCTGTCTTTCCTCTCCTCTTCTTCCTGACCACCAGTCATCCTACACCCCACCATCCGATGCTGTCTGGCTACACTTTCCCCTACCACCACTTTACAGTCACTAATCTCTCTCAGATTGTCTCGTCTACATAGAATGTAGTCTACCTGTGTACTCCTACCTCCACTCTTATATGTAACTCTATGTTCCTCCCTCTTCTGAAAATACTGTAAGTGTTAACTACAGCTGTCGTTGTTAACCCGGGCCTCGACTGATCTGGTATGGAATTCACACTGATGATTCGCATGTTTGATTGTATGATTGCTGAATGTAAATACAGTAATAATAGTAAGTCCCTAAAGAAGCAGCTGCTCTTTCATGGACTGACAAAAATCCTGATGTTTATCTGTGATGTTTTAGACTCTTTACAACTGTTCAGCCATCTCTCAACATGTCAAGTATGTTTTCCCAGGTATTGTATATTTACAGAGCTACTTTCCAAACAGTCCCATTGTGTTCTTCTGCTAAAGCCTGTGCTTTTTCTCACCTTTATTCTTGCTTGTGGTAGCTGTGGCTCCAGGCCCGCGTCCCTTAGCTCTCCTCCCCCGGCTCTGCCCTGTCTTGGTGCCTGGCTGAGCTGCAGGAGGGCCACGCTCCTCTTCCTCTTGGGGCACAAGGTTGACTGGAAGCACTGTTACAATCTTCACCTCATCAAGATCACTCAGCATGTTCCCTGTGATCACAACAAGGGAATGAGGGATTTAGAATGTGCAACCATGACCATGGCCTTTCCTCAGTTTAGAGATGTTTTGGACTCACTATAGAGCAAACACTAAAAACCACAAGCCAATGCAACTTAAAACTAAAGAACACAGACCCTAAACATTTCAGAGAGGTACTGAGTGGAGTGATGGAGGTTTAGCTCACCTGGACTGTTCTCTTCAGCCACTGAGGGTTTGTTCGCTCCAGATTTCTTTGAGGTTTCCATTTTATCACATGAAGACTCCACATCTGAGAAGAAGAGAGAAATATATAGGCTACTGCTCACAATGATGCCATAGTAACCTACAAAAATACCTGGGGCTGTAATGTCATCTACCTGGTAGAGGTGGTAGTGGTTGAAGTGGAGGCTTCAGCATGGGCTTTTCCATCTTCTTGGCATAGAAAGCTCCGTACCAGACCCTCAGCTCTGTTCCCGGAAGCACATCCTGGGAAACAAACAGTAGGTACAAACATGAAGCCACACACGTTCCCATTAGAAAAAAAAAACTGAAAGCCTCAGAATGAGGAGGGGGTACATGTACCTGGGAGGTGTTGAAGTAAACCTCATCATCCTGCTGATACGCTGTCAGATTCTGGTGTTTATGGTCAGTTGCAGGTCGTACCAGCATCATCCAGTTGCAGTCTTCTTCACTGCTGGAGTCAAAACACACCACCATGCCATTCTTCTGGAAGATCTACCCACAAGGAAAAAGAAGATTAAGAGGGGAGGAAACTACAACAACAAAAATATCACATCTATTCATTTAACATTAGGCAGAGTGTCTTCTCTACAGGTAAACTTGGTCAGCTATCTTAGCTATCTGCACCTTCAGTGGAAACACGCCTTCCTTCTCTAGGTGGGGGACCCTCTTAGCTTCAAAGGGCCCAAACCGAGTCCTCTTGACCAGCCGCCGCAGGACAAACACACCTTCCCCCCCATCAGCCACCTGTCTGATCTCCAGACTATTAGGTAGGGATGACCTGATCCAGAACAAGAACAACTTTGTATGAATATCATGAAATTACAATAACAAAAAAAAAAGTTTTCTAAGTACTTAACATTTTGTTATATGATTACAAAACCCGCATTATAATTTTAGGACCATTTAAAAATAATATGTGGGTTTGCCTGATGATTTAAATTTAGCACGTGCAAGTGAACTTGTCAACCATCTACATTGGGCTACTTTCTCATACAGTCTCTTTGCAAGAGCTATAGTATAAATAAGATGAATATATACAAAGGCTTTGTGTTTTCATCCCCCCTCCTCACGAGGAGGTCACAGGTCAGTTTGCACCTACAGCAACTAACAGGAATTTAGAGCCTTGCTTGATGTCACCTCAGCAGGGTAAATGACTGTCAGCACCAGTCAGGTTTGAATCTGCGCCCTGTGGTCTCTGGTTGAATCATACACAAATGGACTTAAGGACAGTGTATAACATCACTAGTTTGGTTGCAGTCAGTTAAGGAGAGCCACTCTGAGTGGTTACTGACCGAGCTCGGCTGAGGACAAAGGAGTCCTGGACGGTCACCAGCGGTCCCAGTTCTGGACACTCAGAATCATGGTACTGGTCACAGTCCTCACACCCTGCAACACACATCCCAACTGTCATCTCAGCCCAATCACACACACACAATCCAGTAACAGCTGGATTCATACTCACAGATGAACTCATCTGGCGTTTGCTCAGCCATTATTCTAACCTACAAACAGAGGAAACCCCAATTAATAACATGTAACTGACAGGAAACAAGTATGAGCACAGGAGGGAAGGCTGATCAGGGATCTTAGAAAATGTACATTTATATAAAGGAACTACTTGTAAGAGTATATTAGAATGTTAACAGAACTTGAGAGCCTGCATACACATTTTACTGGGACACTTAAGCGGTACTGAATACATCAGACCTTCCAGTTTAACACTAAGTATCAGAACAACATTAGCTTCTTTCTGGTATAAGCGATACACCTGGAGCATGCATGTTAACACATGCAGTCCGGGTAGGAGATGGGATCCAGGATTTGAATCGCTCCCATACTCTAGCCGGGTTTTAACTCCGATCTGAGCGGCTCCTCTTCAGTAAACTGTAACAAAGAACAGTCGGCATGGCGGATGGACCGGAGATGCAAACCCCCAAACCGGAGTCGATGCTCTTCAACGCCATGAAGTGAGCAGTGGAGACGGCCCAGCGAAACTCGGGGCGAACAGAACGACACAGCTCCACATTTACTACAAAACTGCGTCACCATTGGGCAGAAAATCTATGTACATTTATGGGAAAACACATTACCTTTTCTGCAAAAGACCCTTCATTTATTGAATCCTGACTCCGGGTTCCAATCCGCTCCAGAAACGGCGCAGGACCGGAAACGAGTCGTGCCGAGTGCATTATGGGGGCTGTAGGCTCGTCAGAATTGATACAGAAAGTCAGTTTAAGAATTTATTAGATAATATGAGATTGTTTTTAACAAAAAGTATGGGAAAGTACGTCAACCTCAATGCATTATTATTATTATTATTATTATTACGTAACACAGAATTTACTTGGATGTAATTTATTTTAGTAGTGTAATAATAATAATAATAAAGTGAAAATACCCCTCTGCAAGTAAAAGCCCTTCACTAAAAATGTTTCTGAATTAAAGTTAATAAATGTGGCCCAGTGTAACAGAAGTATTCATGCTGAATGTTATATGTTTATTATTTAGGTCATAGTTAAAGGTGGTGTTGTACTGGAATACAATATATTCAGGTGTTCTTAATATTCTGACCCTCTCATGTATGTAGCTGGGGAGGACAAAAATATAGAAACACCTCTGAATATAATGTATCCCAGTACAACACCACCTTTAATTATCAATAAAGTGGCCAGTGAGTGTATATTAGGATTTTCACTAATGTATCTGACATGTGAGCAGTATTTCTGCAATAGCTAGTCAGGGTGGAGCTGATCATAACTACTTTATAAAGTGTTTTGCTCTTTACCCACAAAAACCCTTACAAAGCCATCTCTGCCTGTCCTAAAACATTTAAAACAGGTAGAAATATTGTTATATTAACAAACTGTCTCATTTTGTATGAGAAAATAACACTATGAGGACACTGTGAGAACTAGTAACTACAGCTGTCAGTAAATGTACTGCAATACAATGTACAATAGTTTTCTCTGAAATGTGGAGGATTAGAAACAGTATAAAGAGTATATAGAAATACTCAAGTATTTAAAATACTCAAAACTGTACTTTTTACTTTTACAGTTAATATAAAAGTACTTTGTTAAGTTAATGTACTTTGTTACTGTCCACCTCTGCCGTTGTTTTGTTTTCAACTAAAAAATGGGATACTTAAAGACACTTGAAACCCGTTTCAGTGAGCTTTAGTTCTGATTGTAATTGGTTTTCTTTCAATAAAATAGTACTTTCACATTTACAGTATTTGAGGATCATTTGATCAATCTCTGGCTTCTATAAGAATAAAACAAAATCTCCAATGAACTAATTAAAGGAAAGCTGTGGTATTGGCAATAACTTGCTATATGCAATTAAAGCAACAAGTCTAAATAAAAAAGAAAAAGCAATGTGGAACACTAGTAAGAACTCACTAAAGCCAGAACATTCAAAGTGGCACCACAGTCTCAGTTATTCAATTGATATTTATTGCTGAAAATGAAATAACTGGATATGTATACTGTATTAGTTACAACCCCTACAGGGAAATGATCAATTCTGCAACAAGTTTAGTTTTATGCCAATAGCAAACAGGAAGCAGCTTATTCATCACATATAGCCCTATTGCTTACTGAATGCATCACTGTAGCCAGTGCTTGAAGGCTGCTGTAAGCAAGGGCTCTGAAGCTGAGCATGATTAAAACGGCCTGTTTCAACTCCATTCCTCAGAGTGTAAAAGTGCTCCTCTCTGAACAGTTACAGAATTTTATACATCTGGACTTTTGAATACATTTAAATCAGGCTGCAAACAACAGCGGCGAAAAAAAGCAGGAGATGAGAGCAGAATCACAGCTCTGCCATGTAAATGCCTGGACACAAAGACAACCCACACTGCATCTGCAGAAGACTGTTGTCATGAACAGCGAGTGAGTGTTTTTAATTCTCAAGTAGGCAAATAATGTAAACACTCAGTTAACAGATATGTTTTGTGCATAGGCTTCTTGATTTCAGACAGTGCAGATGGTGCAGGAACGCAGTTGCGTGTTTGTCTCTCAGAACCATTCCAATAATCCTTTGGTTCTCCTGTGTGATGGTGGAGGCAGCCTCAGGACCAAAAAGTCCATTCAAAGAAGTCCTCAGAATCACTGTAAGGCAATCTGTCACTGTGCTGCATTAAATCTCTGAGCAGATTAACTTACTGAAGAAACAGTAGTTAAGATGATGTCTTCAACAAGCTGCTTACAAAAAAAAAGGAAATACAATCATTAGCTGGATAAAAACAGCAGCCAAAAAACTTGGCTGCTCCGAAACATATTCACTGTCTTTAAAAGCAATAAATCATTAAATGAGTATTTCATACAGATGAATGCAGGATTGAAATGAGCGAACAAGTTTCATTAGTGCATAATGTGACAAATACAGACGAGTGTAATGTCACAGTCCAAGGATCAAGAATCATTCAGTTCTCTTTTAACATATCATCAACCTTGCTGATAACAGTAGTGTGCAGGAGCAACCTTTTAGGAAGACAAAGAGGAAAGTTGCATATCATCTGAAACCACTGCAAAAAGAAGCAAACAAAAAACCCCACCTATAGCTGAAGTTTCATGTTAGCCACAGTGTCACCGTTTCTTTTTAAAAGGGTGTTGATTTAGTTTAATAGCTGGCGGAGGATGACAATATGACTTCTGTAAAAGCCACTTGTTATGACTGGTTCTGATATCTTTATTAGACACAAGACTGGCATTTTTGGATAGCTGTTTTATATGAACATTACATATATCTACTGATCGTGTTTTATTTGGAATACAAATACAAGTATTTCAAGTGAACTGAAAAAAATGTTGGATATACCATAATTTCATAGTCTTAGTGTCAAAGAGTAGTTGCATTTCTATCTCCCACCTCCCTGTGTGAATGTTTTTAAACGCAAATTAGAACTACACAAGTTTCTATCACTCAAGCGGCTACTGTCATTGCACTTTAAATAAAGGTACTGAAATTGTGCAAATCATACAAACATCACTTTGCTCTTCATCGCTGGTCCTGTTGGTCCACCTTAGGAAACTGTATGGTTTACAGCAGGGAGAGTTTATCCTTTACACTGACAGAGGTAAAGAGTGATGGCCCACACCAGTCCCTTATGTTCATAACAAGGCCATACTAGCACTTAAAGATTTCAAAATGTTGCATAATATCCAGTAAAATAAACATGCTATATAATATCCTCTGAAATGCCATCAATCCTTGACAGGATACCTTCATCCAGACATCCACACTTGCTTTTGGTGGAATATCTGCTTCTTAAAGGAAGCACTTCAGCAGGTTATGGCACTGCTCTGCCATATACAATATGCAGATCAGGCATCAGGCGGAGCAGATTAGTCAGGAAGCTTGCTAGTGCAGGTTTCAGGGGGAGTGGTGATGGCAGTTGTTATGAGATGGACTGAGGTGGAACAAAAAGTGGGCAGGGGGTGTCACACATGTGGCTCCCCCATGGAGGTAGAGCCATTGGCTTTGCTCTTATTCTTACTCTTGCGGTGGAGCATACGGCTGAGTGTGGCTGTTCGGCTGGCCCGCTCCACTGTGGCCTGAGACTCCAGGTAAACCAGGTCATTGTGTGACTGGCTCATCCCTGGCTCCTTGCGATGGTGATGCCGCCGGAAGAAGAGCTTGGCACTCTTCTGTAGGAAGCTGCCTGCAGCAGAAAAGCGGAGGACAGGAAGAGTAAGACAAAGACTAGGTCAAGATGATAACACTCAAAAGCAAAATACTTTAAAACTCAGAACAGTTGACAGTTGAAGCAGCAGTGGCACAGAATTTGTGTTAGTTGGAAGATGTTAGCATTGGTGAAAACAATCTGGAAAAGAGCTCTGTCACAGCATTGGCTTTGGATATTGACACTGACTTGTAACTGTGTTTAATCGCCAGCTAACACACATGAACTGTACCAACAGAGAGTAGCTGCACAGCCCAACTTGACTACAAGCATCAATCATTCCTTTGAGCACACTGTGTAAGGGGTTTGGAGGGTTTCCTCCATATCTGTGGATTAGATTAGGTTGATCAGGACCTATTTAAACTGAGACTATGAAGACTACTAATGACAAATAAAGAAATAAACAACAGTAACCTCTGCACATTAAAGACAATAAGGACTGAACTATTAACTGCCATCAGATGACTTGTGTTGTATTGCAATACGAGATGTCAGATCTACATTATGTGTGTGACATTGTACTCTGCAATATCATGTTTGTATTGTTGGCAATTTTGATATCCATATTTCTAAGGTACTGCAAGTGAGTATTTCAAAGTATTCACAGTACTTTATTTATACTGTACAGCCCTTCAAAAGAAAAACAAAAAAAAGAAGAAATTAAATAAAATATCAAACTGATTTTATATGAAGAAATGTCAATGTTATCTACTCTACTGCTAAGAGACACTACACATATTAGAGTATCAAGAATACTACATCATGAAAAGAAACTTACTCATCTGGACATAATGTGTGCTTTGCACTGCTTTCTTCTAAGATGGAAGTGATGAGTTCAAAAAAGAAAGGTCATTAGAATAGGAGGGACAGAGAGAGAAGACATAAAGACAGACAACATCACTGAGGATCAACAGATGGCCAGAAAAACAACTACACAGGGGAAACTGCTGACTTCCTTCCTTTAGGGAAATGTCACTGAGGATATACAGTAAGATTTACTGCATGGAATAGTATTCCTCTAAAGATCAGCAATGCTACAATGTCCATCCACAGATACTCATAGCTTAGAGTTATGAGCAAGTCCCCTCTGTGACCTCTCACCTCTACTCTTCTTGCAGCTTGCCTCAGACACACACATGGATAGAGAGGTATGGTCTAGTTCTTCTCCTGTCTGGCTCTCCCAGTCCTCTGGAGGCCGGCCTATTCCACTGGGTCCTACCTGGAGCTCTGACACCTCTGGAGGACTACTGGTCCCTGACACAATTGCTGTGGTCACATCCTGAGTGGAGCTGCCCTCTGACATCGAGGCATCCATTGCTGCAGCATAGCCTGCCATCAAAGCTAGCTCATCATCCTGAGACAAGGGCGTCTGGCAAAGTAAGCATGTTCACATTTTAAAATTACTTTCTAGAAAGTGCTATTTCCTGTGGTTTAACATTTGCATGTATTCATGCAAATAGTGTACTTCCTCTGGCGCTTACAAAGGACCAGCTATTTGCGTTGGCAGCTCAGAGAAGCTGTGTTCACCTCTCTCATAATGTAGTTTGGGCCAAGGGATGGCAGTGGGATTTGGCAAACAGTTTTTCCACTGAAAGGCCCAGTTTTAATCACTGGCAAATTTTCAACAAAAAAGGAGTCTCTTTTAAGATCTCTGTCTTCCCTCTGTCATGATCAACCCAACAGTTAAAAAGTGCTAGTGAAAACTGGCACTCATTAGCTTTTATGCCATTCCCACTTATTTAAAACCCCATATAATATAATAAAAAAGTCAAATGGTTCTAAAAGTTAAACTGTATAATCCATCAGTCATGAGCTCTTGAGATCTGGTACATGAGCTAGTCCTTACTTTGGTGATGCCAGAGATGATGATGGTACTCTTCTTCACTGGGGACTTGAGCTTCTGCTTGGCAGACTGGTGGAGTTGCCTGATGGCGGCCTCAGCCACCGGGTCTGTGCCATTGAGCATCAGCAGCTCAGTATCAGAAGAGGACAAGGCTTTGCTGACTGTGGCCCCCAGCATAGATGTCTGCTCTGCAACATGATGTTCAGACACCTTCGGCTTGTTGGCCACAGCTTTCTGGACAGGATCTGAAGAAGCACAACATTAGTTAACAATGGCCTTTGTTTAATCAACATCTTGGTCTTAAATGGTCTTATACTTGTATCTCTCAAAGCACTTTCACACTACTTGCCCATTCACACTCCCAAGCGCTCACACATTCACACACCGGTGACATCACTGGGAGCAACTGGGGGTTCAGTGTCTTGCTCAAGGACACTTCAACATGGACATGACTGGACAAGCTAGGAATCGAACTGCTAATCCTCCGGTTAGGAAATGACCCGCTCTACCTCCTAAGCCACAGCCACCCCCCCAAATGATCTCAATCATTATTACAATGAAGGTTCAAATCATAAATTGTTCAGATCTGACAATGTGCATTATAGAGCTGGAAACAGTGCCAGCAGTTTCAGCTCTGATCTACTAATAGGTCTTTGTCATAACATAACATAATTTGTCAGACTAGGAAACATGCAGTTCTTAGTAATAACACAACTACTAATTACAATGAAACTGCTCATACAGTACAAGAACCCTGAAACCACAGTAGCCAAATGCATTTCAGTCACAATTAAGGTTTTAATTTTCACTTGTGCTACTCATGTCATTCTCTTCCATGAAAAAGGCCTACTGACATCTAGAATGTCCTGTTAGTATCATTTAACACATTTAAATGTCTGTCAGTAAACTAGCCTCAGTTTGCTGAATTTACTAATGAATAGGTGCAATGTAGTGTTTAGAAAGTTCAAGATGATTGACAAGTAGGCCCTTTTACAACTTGTACTCACTTTGCATTACATGTGTATTAAGAAATTTCACATTTCTACATCTCTAGCTGAAAGATGAGAACAAATTGATGACAAATCAAACTACTGGACATATTAAATTCTGTACCAAATGACTGCAGGGCTGAAGTTAAGGTATTATTTAAATCCTTGGCCTACTGTTGACTCTGGAAGAAAGTGAGGATTCAACCTTAGAGGAGGACCAAGAACGCCTGAACAAAATTTCAGAGCAATTCGCTAATAGTTTTTTAGGCTGAAGTCTAAAGTAGTGGACTCACCGACACTGCCATGCACAGAGCCATGCCACTAAAATGGCTAACAATGGCCTTTGTGTAATCAGTTGAGGCAGGATGTTTCAAGGGTTTTGTTATTGTACAATTTACAACTTTTTTATGGTGATGCAATCTGCATAGAGTTGCATATAAATAAATCAATGATACTAATCACTGCATTATCTCCATATCGAGGTGAAATGTTTACTGTAGTATTTGAATGGACATTTGTTCACATGTAAGTGCTGTATGAAGGCCATGATATGCTAACCCCTGGACATGGGAATAAAGCTTAACCTCTCACACTAAGGCGGCATATTTGAAACATATTAAAGCTCCAGACACTGTGGTTACTTTTGAGTACTATAGTATTACTTTGAGGGCCAACAAGTGTTTCAGTGCTCAGCAGTATTAAAGCAGCATCAGATCAGCAGTGGCTTTCTGCCACCCAGGACAAGTTTGAACTGACTAATGGGACCTTTTCTTTATTACCCTAAATTTTTTAATCCTTCTGTTGTTACTCCATGATAGAGCTGCCGAGTGCTAAGATGTCAGGTGATCAAAACTGAAATTCCAGCCTACACCCTTGTTTTGGTTCAAGAACTCCACATCATAGATAAGTGAAAACATTCACAGTCCCACTGCACTAACTGCTGAAGCTGTTCTTAAATCAGCAGGACCAGAATACAACAAAACACGAATGCCTTCATTATGAGTCTCTTTTAAACAGTACTGAGGTACTATACCTGTGTTAAGTCCAAGTGGGAGAGGTCGGCCTGGCTTGCTCTTCACTGCGGTGACGGTGGTGACCACCGTGCCACAGGGCATGACTGTACGGTCCATCTCCACCTTCTTACTGAAGGCTGGGGTGGGAGGGTGCCAGGACCTCACTTCACTGGGCTCCAGATAGGTGAACTGAGGAACACAGTTCCCCAAAGTGAATATTTTCACATGGTGTAAACAGAAAGCTCAGACACATGACAAGAATTCAACTGTATCAGATCGTATTAAAGGCAAAAGTGTGCTAATATCCCAGTGTTTAAGTGGCAGGATGGTCTTACGTCAGTAGTAAGTGATCCAGTCACAATGTCTTTGGTCAGGAGTGCATATGTTTGCTGTCCTTCGGGCTGCTTCTTTACAAGATCAAAAGGCACCGTCACTTCTCCTAGTAAGGAATCTGAAAGGAGAAAACACGGATTTAGACTGGTGGTTCCAAAGCATGCGACAGTCACAGCTGAGGAACAAAAGCCTCTTTTTCATTATGATCAACACACAAATATCCAAAGAAAGCCTGTCATTTTTCTTACTCTCTTGAGTCTGTCCATCATTCCTCAACTGAATACTGAGTTCTTTTGATTGCCCATTCAATTCACTGGTGAGACAGGAAAACAAAAGAATATTTGAGAAAAAAGATTCAGGGGGAAAAAAAAAATTCAGCTCAAAGACAGTGGTGGTTTGTAGTGCTCCATGGTAAAACCTACAAGATAAATGGTTGGTCCCATGCAGGACTGGTTGTGCTCTTCAAGACAGAGGTGTTAAACTTCTGTGGAGGATCATCTAACTGCAGTACACACAGAGGATTCACACTACCTGCAAACACAGCAGACAGAGAAAAGACAGTGTGTGATCCAAGACTTAACTGCAAATTCATTTGAAAATCTTTTGAAACGCTGATCAAATAAAATGTGCTGCTGCAAGGTCACATTTTGCTGTGGTCATATTAATGTCTGTAAGATGAGTTATACGAATGAATGAATGAATTATACATACATTAGAGGAAATTTAAAGTGCTGGTTGACAGCTCCTCCTCGGCACACAACACTGAGCAAAGTCGGATGGAGCCCATTTAACAGAGATTTTAAACTGAACTTTATTAACCACAAACATCCTGTGAACACTATGAAAGTACCGTCTCCTATTGGATACAACATCAGCAAAAGCTCTATCGACAGAGCATGTAGTGGCGCCGCTATGGGTCTGATGTCCAGCCCACAGGAAGTAAGCTAAGCTAAACTAAGATAGCTGCTCTTCACTCAAGAGAGTGAAAAGAAATCACCAAGAGTTGAATGCTGTGTCATTTCTCTGAGGAACATTGCTTCAGTGATGAGCACAATACCTGTAAACTTGCAATTAGGGAAATGACAAATTACAGGAAGGACCAAAAACCCAACAGTTGTGCATGACATTATGGTCTAGGACTTCATTACTAGATGATAGTTATAACAGCATCTCATCAGCTCAAAACATCTTGTCCTCTAGTTCCATGACAACACCCTGGTGCTTTGTTGCATCTCTGTTCATAAAGAAATATCACCGACTACATTTACTTGCACTTAGGTAACCAGGCTATAATCAACTTTCTCAAGCAAGCTGATTTCTTAACTATCATGTAAATGGGAAACCTGGTTTCTGTAATCGAGGTAGGGAATTAGGGAAACCTGATTTTCCCAGGTAGATTTCTCATGGAGAACACTGATTTCACTGCCATGTATAGTGTAAGCAGGTTTCTAATCAGCTTTCAACAAGAGCGCATGTGTGGACATAAAAAACAGTAAGAGAATTGATGAGTTTAAACACAAATATAAAGGATATAATGATTTGATTTATTCTTTCAAACATGTAACAACAGTCAATATGTCAACACACATAATTTCACACATATCCACAAATGCAATATCAATTTGCTTATACCTAGTACATGCTTGAACGGAGTAGGAAGAAGTTAGACTTATCTAGTCCTACCCCATGACATCATCTTATCATCATTGGTTTGCAAGCAGTATTACTACATAGATAATTTTGTTCTCCACCACTCTAGTGATATACTAAAAACACCACACCCCAATGTTACACCTGATTCATCATTAAACCTGTTCTTGCCCATATCTTGATTGACACATACCTTTATATTTATATTTAAACTCGTCAATTCTCTTACTATTTTTTATGTCCACACTTAAATTATTCCATAGTTTTACCCCACTTATGGAAATACAGAATCTTTTTTTGGTTGTACGTATAGCATGAATTTTATAATTTAACTGACCCCTTAAATTGTATCCCCCTTCCCTTTCATTAAATAGTTTTTGAATTCCACCAGGTAATAAATTGTTCCTGGCTTGTTCCTGTTGATGAGAGTGCATGATTAATATCCTGCCAACATGGATTAGCTTTGACCGGTAGATTACAACTGTCTGAAAATCTGCTCCCAGTTACCTCGAAAGCCTCTGGACAGAATGCACAGACTATATTGGCAAAATAAAAAAAATTCAACTGAAACAGTAGTTAAAACAGGAATACTACCACCATATGAGAAAAGGATGATACATTCAATGCTGAGAAGCTACAACATAGAGTACTGTATGTTACACAATGATATTAAAATAATTTTAAAATTAAGTGACATTAAAGATGAATAAAGTCAGAAATTATGTCACTAATTACAGAGACAAATGTGCTACTATGGGAGTCACTGAAGTAGTCTGACCTTTAAGGCCCTAATAATATAAGAATATTATGCACTTTAAATGATTTCTGACTTTTAATAGATTTTCACCAAATTCCAGAAACATGTTTTTATTTTCACATTACTGTACGGGTTGAATGTAGGTTGATGGGGGAAAAATAAATTAATTAAACCATTTAAAATTAAATCTACATCATAATAAAGTGTGCAAAAAATGAAGGAGTCTGAAAACTTTGTGAAGCTACTGTATATGATTTGATGGAAGGAGGCTGAGTTCACATGGCTGGTGCACATTTCCTTTTACTTTAATACTGAGTTTACTGATGTTGTTCCTGTTGTTAGTCAAGAATGCTGAAGGACAGCATCATGTCAGAGGCCCTGTCCTTTTGCTTCATTCATGCAGACACAGACTTCTGTACAATTTATTTTGACTTCAGTGTACCAGTAAGCTTTTGACAGAAGATAAGTTTGGAGAAAAAAAATCATGCACATCTTTTACAGAGTTGTAAAACATTTGCATTTCTCTGAACTGTTTACAGTGATCCAGCTTTTTGACTCTGTGATGCGATATAGCTGACCTGTAGTCTAGTTTGTGTTAGCTGACCAGTGCACACACAAGGGGCAGAAATGACTGAAGTTGGTTTGTGACCGTTGAAAGGGTGACCTTGTGGCAGAATAAAGTCATAGTTACATCTGAACTTGGGTAATTCCAAATGACAAAAGACAAACCTGCAGCATCTTCCTCCTGACTGAGTGTCACACGGATGTTTTTCACTAGCAGCTTCCAGTCGTGGGCACGGGGGGGCTTTGGGGGTGAAGCCACTTTGTTTTGGGTCTCCTATTGGCGAAACCATAGTAAGTAAACTACTCAACAATGTTTATCTACTGGTTGAAATATTAAAGTAACTATGTAAGCCAAGTGCTCTATTCCAGCTTGTTAATGTATTATAGAAGTGTGACAATGCTGTAACACGTATACCACAGGTAGTGGTCAAAAACAATGGGTTGAACTGTATCATTACATCAGAAGCCACCTACAGTGTGGCTACTGTACATGGTCAAGTGTCAAAATAAAAAAACATTTACATGATAATAAAACTCCTGTACTGTCTCAACATCACAAGCATTTTAATGATAAGTCCACTGATAACACTCACTGAGAGAAAAACAATATGACAATAGTTTGCCCATGAAGGGGGGACTCAAAGGAAGACAACCCTGCTTACAGAATGTGCTTGTGGTCATCATTTTCATTGGATTTATATTCAGCCCATTAACGATTTACATTTGAATTAGTTTTTTTTTTTTTTACCTTGAATGATCAAAAACAATTCTAGTTCTTAGATTAAAAGAATTTTGTGTATAGGGTGAATTAGATGATATCTGACAATCAAGATAACCGGCCTGTTTGAACCTGCTGACTGGCTGAGATTACCTGGTATTGTGATGGGCTCGATTTGGTCTCGACTGTTGGATGAACGAGTTAAAGTCTTTAAACCATATGAACCGGGCAGGAGTTGGCAGGATTACTTCAGCTAGTGCTGTAGCAATTAGCTGATCAGTACATTTACAACAATTTATTCAGAAATGTTCAATTATTAATTCTCAAATGTGTTGAGTTGCCAGCTTTTCTCCATTTCATGTGAGAGAAAACAGGACATTTTTGTGGATAACTAAGTTCTGGTGCCTTGTACTAAGGATTTGTCCTTATTTCTGACATTTGATTGACAGTGGACTAGAAGACTGATTTCTGCAAAAACCTGATATATGTTATTAAATCTAAAAGTTTACTAAAATGATGTGCGATCAAATCAAAAATACATGAAACCACATGATGGTTGAGCAAAAGCACATCAGTGAAAATGTTTTGTAAGTGCATGTCATTAGAATGAAATGTGAATTTTCTCTTTAGTGCAGGGATTTGGTTAGGCATATTGTCACCACATGTTATTTGCTACATGTGTGAACCTTTTACATTAATGTGGAGAGACGGTAGCAGCTTTGACATATTTGCAGTAACCCTTGAGATGATTCACAACTGCAAGCCAAATCAATCAGTTGCCTTGAATAGAAGTACAAATTAGTCTGGTTTGTCAAAATGAATCCTACTGCAGAGTTGCATACACTCATCTATATGGTGTTGCTGTGTATGCTGTGTAGCAGCTGTCATATGTCAGATACGACTGCTCTACTCACCTGGACCTCTGAGGCCTGAGCAGACCTGCAGCTCAGCAGCACAGAGGGACATGTTTCACATAACAGCTGCCTCAGCTGCTCCTTTATGGCTGCTACGCTGGAAGCATTGTTCTGATAGAGAGGTCATATCAGACAAATCACACACATAGTGACTGTGTTTAAAACACACACACACATATCATTAAATGCCCATTTTACTTAACTGGTCTGATCCAAAGGAAGATGTTTTACTTTGGATTATTTTTAGTGGGAAGACTTGAACAATTACCAAATGTAATTTGTTGATATAACACAGTGACTCCTGTTGATATTTGATTAACTACTCGTCTTTTTTCTCTACCCGCCATTTACATGACTTAAATACTGTATATTTCTATAAAGACAGATCTACATTCAGTTTCAGTTCAGCTCATTACCTGCAGCCCTAAAGTTACCTGGATCAAAGTGGGTGTCACCTGCAGCTCCAGTGTCTTCAGGTCAGACAGGGCCCAGCTCACCTCGACTTCATCGTTAGCTTCTTGCATATGTAGATCAAGCTGAGGAACATAAGAGGGAAAATCATGATGCCTTATAATGGTCATAGGTCACATACATTTCAATTCATTTACAGTTTCACTGACAGGAAAATCTAAAATAATAGATAAATGGAGATGAAATTAAATGGATTCTCTAGATATCAAGCAATATAACAAAGATAGGCAAAGCAGAAGAAGTCCATTTATATAGCACATTTTCATACACAAAAGCAATTCAAACACAATGCACATGAATAGAGTGCATACATATACAACATTAGAATGCAAATTTGATTAAACATTAACAAATTAAAAACAACAATTACATGAAAGCACAAAGTAGCAACACGCAAGTCGATATATCTAGTACTGTACTTTCAGGACAGCTGTGGCAGACTGGGTATTCTCACTGTTGTCAATACATTTAGTACCCCTTTACTTCAGTCTTCCCAAGACTAACCTCTGATTAATTTAAACCAGAGGTGGCGTACTTTCTTCCAGAAAATATGAACCATCACTGTCAATACAGTAAATGGTCTTATACTTGTATAGCACTTTTCTATGCTTTACAGCACACTCAAAGCACGTTCACACTATTCGGCCATTCACCCATTCACACTCCCAAGCACTGGTGACATCACTGGGAGCAACTGGGGGTTCAGTGTCTTGCTCAAGGACACTTCGACATGTTGACTGGACAAGCCGGGAATCGACCCGCTCTACCTCCTAAGCCACAGCTGCCCCCAAATAGAGGCCTAAACATTAGTACTATATCAGTATTACTCTACAATTTGCTTGTGTTACTGCAGATGCATCTGTGACAAATGTCAGATGTACATATGCATATCGCTGGAACGTAAACTCTTTCACATTGCGTTGCAGCGATGTCAATGAAACCTGTGGGCTCTATATTCTGCATACTTTAGTTCTGGAGCTGGTTATTACTGCTACAACTGTCTCTGGCTGTCATGGTCATATATGACCTAGTTTCAGAGACAGGGCAGGAGGGGCTTGTTTGGAATTTCACTGCTTTAATAGTTGAAAATTAGAGGGAGACCGTTAATGCTGCTTTGTATAAAAATTCACCCCCTCTACAGTCACAACGGAAAGGGAAATTAGCTATGGGGGGGGGGAAATTGTTGTCCCAGGATGCAAGCATGCTTATTTCTGCTGTAAAGTTGGACATTTTGAAATGGGAGCCTATGGAGACTGGCTCCACCAAGGAGTCAGCCTCAAGTGGCCATCTGAGGAACTGCAGCACCACCTGCAGTCACTGGCTGGGGCCGCCCCCCTGGGTGACCCACTCACTAAACAGCTAAACAACAAGCCGGGAATCGACCCGCTAATCCTCCGGTTAGGAAACGACCCACTCACTAAACAGCTAAACAACAAGCCGGGAATCGACCCGCTAATCCTCCGGTTAGGAAACGACCCACTCACTAAACAGCTAAACAACAAGCCGGGAATCGACCCGCTAATCCTCCGGTTAGGAAACGACCCACTCACTAAACAGCTAAACAACAAGCCGGGAATCGACCCGCTAATCCTCCGGTTAGGAAACGACCCACTCACTAAACAGCTAAACAACAAGCCGGGAATCGACCCGCTAATCCTCCGGTTAGGAAACGACCCACTCACTAAACAGCTAAACAACAAGCCGGGAATCGACCCGCTAATCCTCCGGTTAGGAAACGACCCACTCACTAAACAGCTAAACAACAAGCCGGGAATCGACCCGCTAATCCTCCGGTTAGGAAACGACCCACTCACTAAACAGCTAAACAACAAGCCGGGAATCGACCCGCTAATCCTCCGGTTAGGAAACGACCCACTCACTAAACAGCTAAACAACAAGCCGGGAATCGACCCGCTAATCCTCCGGTTAGGAAACGACCCACTCACTAAACAGCTAAACAACAAGCCGGGAATCGACCCGCTAATCCTCCGGTTAGGAAACGACCCACTCACTAAACAGCTAAACAACAAGCCGGGAATCGACCCGCTAATCCTCCGGTTAGGAAACGACCCACTCACTAAACAGCTAAACAACAAGCCGGGAATCGACCCGCTAATCCTCCGGTTAGGAAACGACCCACTCACTAAACAGCTAAACAACAAGCCGGGAATCGACCCGCTAATCCTCCGGTTAGGAAACGACCCACTCACTAAACAGCTAAACAACAAGCCGGGAATCGACCCGCTAATCCTCCGGTTAGGAAACGACCCACTCACTAAACAGCTAAACAACAAGCCGGGAATCGACCCGCTAATCCTCCGGTTAGGAAACGACCCACTCACTAAACAGCTAAACAACAAGCCGGGAATCGACCCGCTAATCCTCCGGTTAGGAAACGACCCACTCACTAAACAGCTAAACAACAAGCCGGGAATCGACCCGCTAATCCTCCGGTTAGGAAACGACCCACTCACTAAACAGCTAAACAACAAGCCGGGAATCGACCCGCTAATCCTCCGGTTAGGAAACGACCCACTCACTAAACAGCTAAACAACAAGCCGGGAATCGACCCGCTAATCCTCCGGTTAGGAAACGACCCACTCACTAAACAGCTAAACAACAAGCCGGGAATCGACCCGCTAATCCTCCGGTTAGGAAACGACCCACTCACTAAACAGCTAAACAACAAGCCGGGAATCGACCCGCTAATCCTCCGGTTAGGAAACGACCCACTCACTAAACAGCTAAACAACAAGCCGGGAATCGACCCGCTAATCCTCCGGTTAGGAAACGACCCACTCACTAAACAGCTAAACAACAAGCCGGGAATCGACCCGCTAATCCTCCGGTTAGGAAACGACCCACTCACTAAACAGCTAAACAACAAGCCGGGAATCGACCCGCTAATCCTCCGGTTAGGAAACGACCCACTCACTAAACAGCTAAACAACAAGCCGGGAATCGACCCGCTAATCCTCCGGTTAGGAAACGACCCACTCACTAAACAGCTAAACAACAAGCCGGGAATCGACCCGCTAATCCTCCGGTTAGGAAACGACCCACTCACTAAACAGCTAAACAACAAGCCGGGAATCGACCCGCTAATCCTCCGGTTAGGAAACGACCCACTCACTAAACAGCTAAACAACAAGCCGGGAATCGACCCGCTAATCCTCCGGTTAGGAAACGACCCACTCACTAAACAGCTAAACAACAAGCCGGGAATCGACCCGCTAATCCTCCGGTTAGGAAACGACCCACTCACTAAACAGCTAAACAACAAGCCGGGAATCGACCCGCTAATCCTCCGGTTAGGAAACGACCCACTCACTAAACAGCTAAACAACAAGCCGGGAATCGACCCGCTAATCCTCCGGTTAGGAAACGACCCACTCACTAAACAGCTAAACAACAAGCCGGGAATCGACCCGCTAATCCTCCGGTTAGGAAACGACCCACTCACTAAACAGCTAAACAACAAGCCGGGAATCGACCCGCTAATCCTCCGGTTAGGAAACGACCCACTCACTAAACAGCTAAACAACAAGCCGGGAATCGACCCGCTAATCCTCCGGTTAGGAAACGACCCACTCACTAAACAGCTAAACAACAAGCCGGGAATCGACCCGCTAATCCTCCGGTTAGGAAACGACCCACTCACTAAACAGCTAAACAACAAGCCGGGAATCGACCCGCTAATCCTCCGGTTAGGAAACGACCCACTCACTAAACAGCTAAACAACAAGCCGGGAATCGACCCGCTAATCCTCCGGTTAGGAAACGACCCACTCACTAAACAGCTAAACAACAAGCCGGGAATCGACCCGCTAATCCTCCGGTTAGGAAACGACCCACTCACTAAACAGCTAAACAACAAGCCGGGAATCGACCCGCTAATCCTCCGGTTAGGAAACGACCCACTCACTAAACAGCTAAACAACAAGCCGGGAATCGACCCGCTAATCCTCCGGTTAGGAAACGACCCACTCACTAAACAGCTAAACAACAAGCCGGGAATCGACCCGCTAATCCCCCGGTTAGGAAACGACCCACTCACTAAACAGCTAAACAGTCCTATAACAGCTGAGGCAGACTGTGGATTCTCACTGTTCTCAATTTCCTTAGGCTTCCCAAGACTAACCTCGGAGTACTTAAACACCAGAGGCAAGCGTACTTTCTTCTGGAGAATTTGAAACGTAAGCGTCTATACAGTCAGCTAAACAGCACAACAAACTCAATTGGTCATTGAGTAATGAAAGGAAGATAAAAGCAGATAAAGTACAAAACTGGAATTAAGATACATTAATTAAAAGCAGTGGAAAAAAGAACAGTCTTTAGTTTAGCTTTAAAAGTGGCTACAGCTGGAGCAGATCTAAGTTGTAATGAAAGCTGGTGCCAGCTGTGGACAGCATAACGACTGCAAGTCCTTTCACCTCGTTTGATTTGAACTCTGGGCACCATTAGTTGACCAGTCCCTGCAGATCTGAGACAACTACACAGCTTGTGCTCAGCAAAATTATCTCTGATGTATTTTGAGCCCAGACCTGAGCAAATAGCTGCCACCATGAGAAAAAAAAAAAAACATTTGCTCAGTATCTTGTTATGCTTTCACATTAAAACATGATATTTTTAATGATATAATGAGATACTGTATTTTCTCATTATAATAACAAACATGTATTGTGGGTTTATGTGTGAAACCAGTGATTCTCAAGGGCCAGTGTTGTGTCAAAATCCCCCCAATTTCCCCATCGAGATGTGTTTCCCCTAAGATGAACCCAAAGATTATCCTAACCACAACCACTGAGGGGGCACTATGTGAAACCAAGTTTGACTAACTTCAATGGCAGCAAGCAATGTTAGACTCACCCAAACTGCAGACACTTGACTGACATCATGAGCACATTATTCTGCCAATGTCTTGCAAACTGCAAACTGTGGTGGGATCATTTTTACTGTATGTCGTGAAAAAAATTGTATGCAATATTATAAGACGATGTCAGTGATTTTGATCTTGGATTGACAATTGTGCTCATTTTTCTATGAAAGTGTATTCTTTCTTCTAAATCATGTTCTGTCAGTATAAAATAACCTTGAAAACCACTGATCTTTGTTTTCTTTGTCAGAAATAAAGCTGCTGAAATGGCCAACACCAATAGTGTGTTTTATGGGTGGGCAGGGGAGCAGATGACTCAGGGCCCCATTCACCAAGGAACCCTTTAACATTAGATCCAAAACTTTCCTTTCTTCCATGTTAATTTTAACGTTCAAAACACTCACTGTATTTCGTATGGCAGAAGTTAGTTTTAAAAAAAAATCTGATTTAATATATGGGCTATGCCTCTGCTGACATTGTATGTGACAAGAATTTTTGAAATGCTTAATCTTATAGCTAATTTGGTTTGATTTCAATGAGTAGGTCATATAGGTTGCACAATACAAATAACCGAGTAGCTGTGTTGACTTTGTACCAGTGTGTTTTTTTTTAGAACTTTTTTTTTTTTTTTTTTTTAATGAACCTTGTCATGATTTCTTTGGTCTGTTATTTCAGAGTAATTGTTAGATTTCCAGTATGAAACAGAGAAGGATAAACATCTAAAAGTGGACTACTTGTCTTTAGCTTGCTGTTTGGAGTGTGTTTGTGGGAAATCATGCTGCTCTGGGTCGAGGTCTTTTACCTGGAGAGACACTGGGCACGACAGACTGGCAGTCACTGTTTATAATATTATATTGCTATCATATGAAGAAAATCATTTGTGAAGTATTTTCTTGAACTTGAGCAGACAGGATGTCTAAACACTTCAGAATTCATTTTGCTGCTACCAACATTAATGTAAAAAAAAAAAAAAAGTGAGCCAAACCATACACAAGCCATTACACCCCTGCAGTGTTTCACAGATGAGATAGTCTGCTTTCCTTCTCTCCTCCATACCATCACTAATATAAGGTTATTCTTAGTTTCATGTGTTCTTGGAAAACTGTAACCTGGCCATCCAGTTTCTGTGACTAACCAGGGCTTTGCAACTTGCAACGTAGCCTCTGTATCTCTGTTCATGTTGTTGTCCTCTGCAGACAGTGGTCACTGAGAAATCCATACCTGCCTCCAGATGAGTGGTTTTGATCTGTCAGACAGATGTTTGGGGATTTCTCTTTATTATGGAGAGACTGTGTAGGTCTTCCTTAGCCTGACAGTCCCTGTGCAAATATAAAGTTCACCTTTGCTCTCTTTCTATGACTCAGTGGGTATACGTTGGACAGTTTCTACATCCTGCACTCATATTAAGAACAAAAGAAACACAAAATGTTCTGCAAGGTGCACAACACTTAGCTCATCAGAGACAGAATGTGAATAAAGAAGAGAGATGAGAGAGATGTCCCAACATGCCTAGATTCCAGCGCAAGAATAGCTGCCTGAGTGGTGCCAAACAAGGCCTTATCTGATGGCGATAAGAAGCTTAGCTCGATCCAGAAGAACAATATCACAGCCAGCACCAATAAGACCTGGATAGGTTCATAAAAACATCTTAAACTAGAGCACTATTATAATTGTTTAAAAAAGAACTGAAGAACACAAAGTGTTTACCAAGAAGATCATACCCTTCAGGGAATATATTTAACCATTTAAATGCTTGAGAGAAATGTCTGTTGGGTAGTTACACAACAGATGTGTAAATGAAGTGTTTGCATTTCAAAGATGAATGCTATACTGACACTACACATGGGTGTCCCTCATCACATGCAACAGGCCATGTGATGCAGTAGTGTATTAGAGGACATGGTGTACTCAGCACACAATAGTGTACAGAGTGCATTACTGTGCCCCTACACTGTAAATGCATGGGGACTCTGTTGCACATGTCCCTGCACTCATAACACAACAAGCCAAGACCATTCCAGCTTAGATCTCGGTCAAAAGCTAAAAAATGTTTCCGTGGATGGATGGAGACATTTGAAATAACTGTCTGACTTTTCTAGGCTAAGTTAAAGCTGTGAAAGTGAAACTTTTGTAGGCTAAGTTAAAGCTGTGAAAGTGAAAGAGAGACACAAGAGGCTTCCTTTATGTTCCTGCAGCAACAGCTGATTCACAACACTCCAATTCTAATTGTGACTTCAGGCTTGTAGCCCTTACTCAGTTGCATTTATGGGACATTGTACTGTTACTTGTTTCCATACATAAGGAGACCATAGCTTAATGCACAACCTATTACATATCCCAATACATCACCTTTCCCTCAACTTCATTTCAACACTAAATACACATATAGAGAGGACATAGTGTTAGTAAAGACTGTGGGGGAGCCACAGGAATATTCTACTGTTAGATTTGAGCATGACAAATCAAATAAATGACTGTAATTACCTGGTAAGAACAAACTGACATTTCATCACAACTGCAGAGTGTCATCACTCCTGTACAGGTCCTTCACAAATGTGAATGTAGACAAGTAAGCAAGTCTTACTTGAAAAGGGCCTGACAGTGGTTTTAATGAGATCTCTGGCAGATTTACCAAACACAAAAGATAACCCTACCTTTTAATCTGATGCTGCTGCCAGCAGAGAGCTGATGCTGGGCAGCACATCATGTTCAATAAAATCTCCCATTAAACTAAACCACAGTGACTTCCAAACAATGCAAGTCTGTTTTAACATCTCAGTGTTAAAGGGATATTTAACAAAAGCACTATTTTCTCTCATGACATTCCTAGGGCCAAATATATAAAGCATTTACCTGCACCTCCAGTGGAGCTATGCAAACTGTGTATGTACAAGAATCTGTTGTAGCTGCTGATACTGCACAGACAGAGAACTGGAGCTTCTCCCCAACCACTCTGCAGCAAACGGCCTGTTGGGAAGATAAAGTGAAGCATTAGTGTAATGTAATGTTGCTGAATGGTAGATGACTGTGTGGATTTGTTGCTTTGCATGGCCTGTTGTTCCTTGATGGTAAACTGTTAGTACAAAGCAATAGCACTGTTCTGGGTGTGGTGACCCTTTTGTGTGTTATATGAGTATGCTTACTCTGTTCAGCTTTGGCTGGTGCAGAAGCACCTGTGACTGGAGGTTTGTTACCTGGAGAGACTCTGAACACAACACACAGATATACTATACTAGCTTACGAAGGAATTATCAACAGATGCTATCATATGTGAGTATAATACATCACCTTCATTGCAGTGGGGTACAACTTTAACAGAGTAAATAACCAATCAACTGTTAATTGTCCTCTTACCATATTTATTCTGTTTTTAGAGTAAAGCAAATGTGTTTGCATCCAGTTGGTATTAGACAAGGTGAAAGCGAAACACACACATACTGTAGGTGCACTCCCATCTGCTTGCTCCTTCTTAGTCCTTAGCTTGACAGATATGTAAGCTTCTTAAACTGCATACACATGCACATGTGCACACACACACAGTGTTCATTAAACTCTGTGCATTCAACAACAGAGCACCTGCTATTTTGGTACATATCACAATGATCACAAAGAAAGGGCTGAGCACAGCAAAGCCAACAAGGTCAAAACCACAGTGAGCAATTCCTTATCTGACCTCTCTCTATCCATCTGTGGCAGTTCATTTTAAAACATCAGGCAGTAGGTTGTCATTATCTGTATGACTGATGAAAGCACTGTTTTCCATGCATTCCTTGGCTGTTTTGGGGATTTTTGTAATAAGCATGTGAATACCCAGTGTTTTTTGGATTTTTGTAATAAGCATGTGAATACCTGAAAAAAATGCTAATGAGAATAATTTGCTAAACCAAAATTATTGGGGTGAATGTGCCAAAGTTAGTTGACGGGTTACTGTTTGGTCATAGAGTAGCTCCCATTGCACTGAGTTATAGATGGGGGGATTGATTTGAGAAACAGCTTTTGTCAATAAGGTACATAAAGAAGGAAATCACTAATGGATAAAGTGTGTGCTGCTGTAATCCAGAGGGACAGTGAAGCTGCCATGAAAAGTAACCTGTATTATTTTTCAGAGGTTGCTGAAGAAGGAGGGCACAAATACAACTACATATCTCCCAGAAAGATACATTCATTGACCACTGGAAAGAGACAACACAAAACAGCATCATTATACAGCACAAGTTGTTTTTCAGTGAAAGGAAAGCCCTTCAACCACAACCATAACAAAGTGACTAAGTGTACCTTGTTCCTGGCAGACTTCTGGAAGCTAGACACATGGCTGACTGTGAGCTCTGATGCCTCAAAATCACCCTCTTCAAATGTCAGTACAACTGCACCCTGATGAGCAAGAAGACAAAAATCAATAAAAGTACCTCTACAAACCAGGAAAATAGGTTGCCTACAATTCAGCAATGATTTGGGGCGTGATGTATCACATTGACAATGCATACTGTATGTTCTGACTTGATTATTCAGAGAATAATTAAACAACGCAGATGTTACTGCTGAATGTGCATAAAAAAGAAGCCAGGTGAAAGTGACGCTATTAGTGTCATCTATCATAAATGTGTTTATTGTCAAAGGATGGGGTAAGATTTGATTCAAATGGCTGGGATTGTAAAAGCCTCCAAGTATTTGAAACCATTTTCTCCAGCTTTCTACAGTCACCTCTTCAGTGTTTAACCCAGTCACATCCTATCACATGGTGCACTTTTATTGAAGTTACCTGCCAGGGTAGACTTAAGACTTAGTGATCATGAGACTTACCCCACGCTTCCTTGATTCGTCAGTCAAAGCTTTGCACCAAGCTCCTCTCCACTGACTTCTCCAGCTTTTCAGTGACAGCGCCCATGCCAACAGAGCAGCGGCTTCCTCCTGCGCCGCATTGTCAGCTCCTGCTATCTGCTTACTTCCTACACCCCCTTGTTGGAAATACTGTATCAAGTACAGCGTTAGAGTAACCAGGGATGCGATAAAAAGTGTGACCATGCATAGCCACTGTGGATCCTCCAAAACAAAATATGAACTGGATTTTTCCAAGTCGGACATTCTTTGCAAATGAAAGCGACGATCATAGCCTAACACACCTCCTCTGAGATATTTCTAGGAAACCTCATAGCATTTATTTGGTCAGGGAACGGCGACATCAATGGAAGCAATCTCCCATAACTGATAAGGGCACAGATGTCAACCCCCAAAGTAAACGGTGCTTATTGTTATGCATGGTGCAGTAACGCTACTCTACAGCAGCTTTTAAACACAATACAAACAATGCAAGCTGGCTGGAAAGACCTAGACCACTAACAAAGAGCTAAATGTTTGTAATATACGTGTTCATATAAACTTAAAGAACAGCACACTCCTCTCCTCCCATTGAACAGGGTTGTTAGCTTATACAGCTAACACTTGATCTTCGCAACAGTTCGCTTATCTGGCTATTGATTAGCTACGAAACCGACAACGTTTCCCACAAAAAGAATTATTTCCAAGGTCAGTTGTTAAGTTCAACCAGTCGATATCCACATATTGAACACGAATCCTGGGAAAACATCCTGAAAGCAAAGAGTACAGCCCCTAACGCCGAACACTACCAACCTGACTGTACAAAGTTGCCTTTTAAAAACGGATGTGGCACAAACTGTAATTCCCAGAATGCACAGCGACAGATGCACGAGTTTGTTGTTATCGATGTAATGTGAACAGAGTCGTGTTTTTTTAACTGAGGCTTACATTTGGCCTTTATATCACTTATTTTAATCCAGCACTGTCTACAATGTTCTAATAATATAATCCCTTAAAGCAGGACAAGCAAAATTCTCAGAACAAGTATTATGAACTACGCGAGTTGCCGTAAACTAACCCACTGTCACCATTACGACAGCCTCCTGTCCCATTTGTAGCAAACATATTAGCTAACGAGGTTCGGGTAATGCAACTGTGCTTACTCCAGAATTGCTTTTTCGGGTACGGTTTCCTTAATTTAAATCAAATATTTTGTATTGTAATATGGTGTAATAGACTGCATAGAGTCGGCCCCACCCATCAGTGAAGATAAAATAATCCTCGTCACTTAAGGGGGCTAGCATACAGTAGCCATCATCACCCTGCTCGAGTCGTTGCTTTCAAATGGAAATAACTATAATTTCGCAATGAATTGTCGCTCGGAAGTTCTCGAAGTAACGGTGGAGGCGAGGCAGGTCGAGGAGGCTATGCTGGCTTTGCTGCACACCATTTTATTGCACCGCAGTACCGGGAAGTTTCATTACAAAAAGGAAGGCACCTACTCTATCGGTACCGTGGGCACACTAGACATCGACTGCGACTTCATCGATTTCACCTTTGTCAGGGTGTCCTCAGAGGAGCTGGACAGAGTGATCAGGAAAGCTGTGTCTGAATTCAAGGTAAACAGCAGTTTAAACATGTAATTGCTAACTGTAATTCCTGGGCAGGCCTGTAATTTTAACAGTGTGATGATATGCTTTGGTTACAGGACGCTTTGAGTAACTCTGGCAGTGATGGCATAGGGCAGATGTCTCTGGAGTTCTACCAGAAGAAGAAGTCTCGTTGGCCCTTTTCTGACGAGTGTATTCCCTGGGAAGTGTGGAGCATCAAGGTCAATGTTGTCAACCTGGCAAATGAGCAGGAGAGACAGATCTGCAGGGAAAAAGTGGGCGAGAAGCTGGGTGAGAAGGTGATCAACGTTGTTGAGGTTATAAATCGCCATGAATACCTGCCAAAGATGCCCACCCAGTCTGAAGTGGACAATGTTTTTGACACCAGCCTCAAAGATGTCCAGCCATACCTTTATAAAATCACATACCAGATCACTGACAGTCTGGGCACCTCTGTAAGCACCACCATGAGGAGGCTGATTAAAGACACCCTGGCACTGTGAGGATGCTCCAAGACAGAGATGAAAGATATAGATGATTTTATTCATGTCTGATATGTCCTTTTGTGCTCAAAAACATGTTTGGTGGCCCTAATCCTACTGCCACGAGGCAGCACTGTAATCACTTGTCTGGCATCACTGCTGTGGTTCTCATATTGTGACCTTAAAATTCTTGATTATGTAATGTCTATTTTAAGCATATTTTGTTTTTAGTAACTTTCTCTTACCATATTATCTTTACTTTCCATCATCTAGAAATGCAACTTTAACACAGGAGCAAATAATGTATGCCATTTACATTCTTTAAAGGGTTGTGTTGCTGATATTGTCAAGTCTGTAAATTATTGTAAATCTTTGACAGTAAACATTGTTCATTATAACTGATGTAACTAATTATAATAAAAAGTCTTAGCATTTTCAAATTAAAGTCTAAACTGTCCAAAACCTTGAGATGAGAAAAACTGCTGGCAAAGATTACCTTATGAGACTTGGTCATGTAATAAAATCTGATTTGGAGACGGATTTCCTCATCTATGTTAAAACTTCCTCTCTGCACCATTTCATGGAGAGAGAGACCTTACAGATGCGTAGGACAGGATTTCCAGTTTGCAATTTTTCCAAATAAAAGCAGGTATTTCCTAAGTTCACTCCTGTGTTTCCAGCCAGAAATGGTCACGGTGCCCCACATCTTAAAAAACATCCCCCTGGCTCAGGGGTGTCTGCCAACAGGATGATGTGTGTGCAGTTTTCCATATTTAGTTCCACTGGTAGATTAACAAAAACTTCAGTTTGCTTCATCATTCATACTGATGAAACTGACAACTGGCTGTTAATTATCTTTACCAGGTTTTAAAGGAAAATAATATGCAGTGCTTTTATGTTCAGCACAAACTCACATCATTTGTATATTATAATTTGTCTTGGCATTAGTGACAGTATATACCACCCCAAAACAGAAAAAGTTGGGATGGTATGTAAAATTAAAACTGAAAATAGTGATGTGTGAATCATCTGTGACCTGTATCACATTGAAAACAATACAGCAGCACATTATTTGATGTGACACCTCATCAGTTTTATTCTTTGTTCAGAATAAAGAGTGACTTCAATGCTGAAACACATTCCAAAAAAGTTGGGACAGTAAAGCATTTACCACGGTATGATGTTGATTCCTTTTCACAACACTTAAAAGACTGTGACAGACCCTGGATTTTGGACATGTTGCTGGGAAAAGTCTAGATGGGCCTTTTTGTCTTTGGTCCGGAGCACACGTCCAGGTTTAAGCAGCATTTATGGATGTAACTACATATTGTAGTGCCTGACACAGGTGAGCCAAAGTCATCCTGAGCCCATGTGGTTATATCACTTATAGAAGAGTGACAATTCTTGATGCAGCACCATCTGAGGGATCAGAGTCCATGGTCATCCAGTTTAGGCTTGGCCCTTTATGCACTGAAATCCCTCCAGATTCCGTAGAGGGTGACAGATCCAAATCCCTTCCTGTCTTTCTTGAGAAATATTGTTTTTAAACATTGTAGTACTTTTCTCACACATATGTTGGCAAACTGGTGGTCCTCCACTTCTGTACCAAGTCATGATGCAGTCACCTGATGACATCACCTGTTTCAAATGGAATCATCATTTCATTGTTTTACCTCAGTACTGGCCCTGAAATGCAACTGTCCCAACTTTTTTGGAATGTGTTGCAGCATCAGAATTGAAGTGAGTGTTTATTCTGAACAAAGAATAAAATTGATGAGGTATCACATCAAATAATGTGGCTGTATTGTTTTCAATGTAATACAGGACACAGATGATTTACACATCACTATTTTGTTTTAATGTTGATTTTACATACCATCCCAACTTTTTCTGATTTATGGCTGTATTTGAAAATGTTAGAATATATGGAAAAAAAAAGTTCTCTAAATGAAAACCCAGAGAGATGTGTGTCCCTGTTCTATTCCAGGGCCCTGTACATTTCCAGTAAATACTGGAAATATGTGCTTTGAAGCACTGAGATAGTACAGCAATGAGTTTTTTAATGACACATTCAGAAGATGTTGCTAGCTCTAGAAAGTGGGTGAGAAATTATTAAGATGAAAAGTTAAGTTCAGTGTCTTAGTGTGTAAAGTAAAAGTAAATGTTTATCTGACTTACAGCCACAAAGGTTAGTGAATTTGTTATTTGGTCTATTCATAGAAAAGGAATCAGCAACTGCTTAAATATTGAAATAATTGTTTTAGTAATTTCTTTAAGCAAATATGCCAAGCATTCACTGGTTCCAGCTTGTCAGAAGTCAAGATTTGATCATTTTCCTTGTCAAAGTAAGGTTTTCAACAATTGGGCAATTTGGACTGAGGGAAGTTGTATCAGGCAATATTTACAATTTTATAACATTTTAGAAGCAAAACAGTTAACGAAGAAGCCTTAGTGTGACAATGTTTAAAGAAGACAAAGGGGTAACAGACAAGATCACAGAGGTAATGGACATTTCACTAAAATGGCTACATTTGATTTAATTAAGATTTAAATTTGCTGTGAGACCTAGATACCCAGATGCAATGTATAGAGTAGTTTACCACTTACAAATAAATCATTAAAATACCACAAGTGGTTGTATATGTATTCTTCATTGTTACTCTTTATTACAGAAATGAAGCACAAAAACTGTAGAAAAATCCTAAACACAAGTCTCCAAAAGCAGTAATGCAACCAATGCTGATACAAATATTTATGATTGCAGCGAGAGCACAAGAATACTAAAAAGATAAAACTTCTGTTTACTAACAAAATTGGTACAAAATTGAGAATACAAACACCTCCATTTACACAATTCTAATAATCTCTATGAAACTTTCAATAAGTGTTCAGACAAGAAATGAAGAGCACTATTATCAATACAGAATATCTCCTATGAATAGAACGTCACATTGTAGCTCTTGCTGCTCATTTAGTGGAAAACAAACTCCCCGTTTGTGTGAAGCACTTGTTGACTTTAACATCTCCCAAATAGTAGCAAACATATAATTTATGACAAATTTCTAATCCATCAAGCCAAAGCAGAAGTATATACTGGTACAAGAATACAATTGTGAAACAACTGGAATACAATCAAAACATACGCTTCAATAATAAATCTTTAGGAAGCAGGAACATTCTCACCATTCAAAGAATAAAATGTTTGCTTTCTCCTATGCCAATCTGTCTTCTTGACTACCAGCTCCAAATGCTTGAGTCATCTGAAACCCTATTGTGCTTTCATGTAAAATAATATTGACAAAGTATTTTGAAGATTGCATAAGGCCATCGAAGCACTGTAAAGCTTGGTTCATTACCAAATGTGTTTCACTGCACAATCTCTATGAGTATTTATATAACACTGATGCAGCACTGGGCTGATGGAATTCAGAGATTCAGTAATTGTCAGACTATCCACAAATTCATATTAGAATTTTCACATGTATTATTTGGGTATAGCCATAAATTATCATGCTGCGATGTATTTTGTTTGCTTGTTGTGAATATTCATTGGCAATGCTCCACATTTTACAAATAAGCTCCTCTGAGGGCCTTTTACAAATCATTTTTTCAGCAACATTTAGAATGTTAGGGCTATTTACCTGTGGAGAAAAAGAACATACTTTCTCAATCCTTATGACCGATGACTGCACAGACTCATTCGTTTCTATACTCTTAAAAATGATTCACTAGGCTAAGAATTAGAAAGATAAACAATAGGTGCTGAATGAAGGCTATAAGCAGTTAGGAAAGGCTGCGAAATCAGATGCAGTACCTAAAACAACAGGTGTTTTAGTTCTATGTACAGTATGTTTTAACTTTACTGATTATACTGAAAGTTTTATTCAGTCAGCCCACTAAACAAAATGACTCAAAAGGCAATATGAAACTCAAATGTGTGTATGAGAACAAATGTCAAAGGAATGCTAGAGGAATACAAAAGATACTATTGGAACCAGTTATCATTTTCACTTCTGCAGCCTAAAACCTCAACTATGGAGACGAAAAGATCCAAGTGAATGTTCTGGGCTACATCTCCATATACCGGCATCAACCTGTTTAACAAAGTGCATATTGAATACATTGTTGAGGTCACCCATATTATCGGACACCAAGAGATAAATTTGATACAAAAGTAAAAGCATTAATCTTTAAATCTGCAGCCTCCACACGTTTAAAGCACTTTTTTCACAATCGATATTAATAGTTCGCTGAGGGGTGTAACTCTGTACCTTGATTTTCTCAAACCACCTACTGTATATAGATAAATACAAGTAGACAACTAAAATAGATATATGCTCATATATCATTTTGAAAGGAAAATAGACCATTAATCATCTCATTTCACAGAGGAATCTAGCACTTGATTGCACATTCACATTTACACCTCTAATGAACATGGCCACTTTAATATATGACATTGGAGGCAAGCCAATAAGCTATACATTCAAAGTCTTCCTTTTGTAGGCTGAGGTGTGTTTATTCTAAGCATTGTCTCTGAAGAGAAATGTGCTGCTATAATGTGGCTGATTCTTACATTTGACTGTGACTCTGCTCATGGCTCCAGAGACTAAAGGCCGTCTTGAAGGTCCTGTGACAGAGTTTACACATGTACTGCCTCTTAAACGTCAGGGCAGAGAGAGACGGTGCATGGTAAAAGAGTGTGTCTGATTCCTGAGGGCCACCTGGATTCTCCATGCTGTTGGACCGTGACAGGGGACTGTGGCTGCTGGGATGCCTGTCTAGTTCGGGCATCTTGTTTACTAATGAGCTAGAGGGTTCTGGGCAACTAGACTCCTCAGCCATCACTGTAGCAACTGGCACCGTCTGAGTGGACTTGAGCACGGAGGCCTGCGGGGATGGACGTTCAGAGTTTTGCGGAGTCATGGGAGGGGAGGGAGACAGCGATGAGGGGTGTCTGTCAACCTCTTTGGCTCCAGGTTCATTAGCAGTAGACATGTGGGATTGGAAGTGGCTCCAAAGGCGGAAATTGGTCCTGAAGGCTTTGTTGCAGATGTGACAGATGAATGGTTTGATGTGGCACAGCAGCTCCTGGTGTCGTTCCAGGTCTTTGCGAGAGCTAAAAAGATTTCCGCATTTCTCGCATGGCCACACACCAGGTTCATCAGAGCCAGTTTTGGCAGACTCTGTGTTTTCCCTCTCACTCACAGCCTCCTCTAAAGGCTCTTCCTTCACTACCAGCTTGCCATGGTGACCCATACTCAGGTCCTCAGGCACACAGGATGAGGAGTCTTCTGAATCATACATTGGTGGACCTGAGGAGTCATTATAACTGATGTTCTCTGATGAGCTCCCAGTTGCTAGAGGTTCATTACTGTAAAGCTCCTCCCTGAGCATTTCAATTGCCTCTTCATTGCTCTCTGGTTGCTTCAGGTGAATATGGTCTCTAACAGTCATCATGTTGTGGTTGTGGATCTCCACCTGGTGGCGCCATATGCTGAAGGAGGATTTGAAGGTCCGCATACACTCCAGGCATGTCAGTTTTTTATACTTACAGTGTGTCTCATGGTCCTTCTTGACAGTTGGACTTGAGAATCGGAGACCACAGTAAGGGCATACAGTTGCATGTCGACAGCCCCTCTCATGGTCGCCCTGTTCAAAGAGTGAAGACAGCTTCATGTTACAGAGTCTACAGGAGTAAACACCAGTGTCTGTGTTCTTCTGTTGAATGATCTCATCCTGTTCCTGGTAGAGGATGCTCTCACTTGCTGTGTCCTGGT